TGGACCAGGACTACTTACAGCCTCATCAGTCAATCTGAGTGCTGCTTGCCGGCCCATGAAGCCTCTCAAGTGGGGAGGCGTTGCTTGGAGGTCCGGTGTCTTCTCTGGAACTCACCCAGATGTTTCATCTGGATTTCTCTGGATCATTTGGACTCGATCAGGACTATTGTGTGGTTTTGTGCAGGCTCAGTGAAGGTCTGTCTCTCTCCAAAAGCATCTGGTGCTCAACGGCTGCAGAGAGTCGATCAGAATCCAACCAGAACCAGACCAAGCCTGGTGAGTTCCTCATATAAAATTCTGCAGTACTGTACTACATTTACATATGTTGTTAAAATTATGTAGGTTTAAGAGTTTAAAACATTGCAAGAGTGTGGGAAAGGTTTATAAAGCCTTAAATATATATAAATATTAAAATAAATATAGTGTTCCTACTTTGCGGTTTTTCACTTATTGCGGGGGTGTCTGGAATGTAACCCCTGCAATAAATGAAGGACTACTGTAGTTCTTTGAGTCAGAAAGGAAAGTTGAATTCTGACCTGGCTGACACATTAATGGTCGGTAACCAGGGCTCAAATCAGAGTAGATTACTGCTGTTTTAAAATAATTTCTTAGCGCTTCAAAATGCTATTTTACAACTTTTCACATTGCTTTCAGCTTTGTATCAGTTAATCCAGAAGGGAAGTTACTTGAAAAACACGTCTTGTCAGTTGCAAAGTTTACTTAACTCCTGAAACATTAAGCAGACTTGGGTGACTGCAGAGTAATAAGTGAAAAGGTTTAATTTCAGCTAACATAATGATTAGTCACACGGGTGTGTTGCATAAAATTGAGTTTGATAAGCTCTTGGTCCAATCTTGTTGTTCAAAAAGTTGTTTAATGTCGAGCTAATTCAGTTGCTAAGGTTTTCCAGCTTTCACAGTCTGCTTTTGACATCATCCAGTCCGATCTGTTACGTCTCAAACTGGTGCTATGCTGACAAAACCAAAGGGATGTTGTTGTCAAACAGGAAGTCAGTTCCAGCAGTCCTTCCTCCTATTTTATCTTCGAATGGTGTTCCTATTGAGTTTGTTGATTCCTACAAATACTTGGGTATCTTAATTAATTTGCACATCTTTTTTAAGCCTCATGTTGAAACTTGGTAAGGAAACTGAAAGTTAAATTGGGTTTCTTTTTTAGGAATAGATCCTAACTCTGAACGCTAGGAAACACCTTGTGACTGCGACTTTCCTTCTCTCCACTGACTACAGTGACATTATTTACATGAACGCTCCTGCAAGCACCTTACAGATGTTGGACGCTGCACCCTGTATTCGCTGGTTAAAGTAAAGTAAAGTGCTATGTGTTGTCATCATTGTATGTTCCCATATAATGGCGAAACTGGTTCTCTGCATTTAACCCATCGCACCTGGGATGTGGAGCAGTGGGCAGTTACCTGTATGTAAGCACTTGGGGAGCAATTAGGGATTAGGTGTCATGCTCAGAGACACTACGACATGTGGGAATGGCTGGGAGTTGAACCTGGGGCTTTTGTGTCCTGAGTTGGCTGCCCTGCCTCTACCTCATCTCGGTCCCTACTGGGTATGTGGCAAAAGGGCCTTCTCCTACTCCGCTCCTGTTTCCTGGAATATCTTGCAAAAAGACCTGAAGCTCTCAACCTTGACCTCTTTAAGTGGTTTCAAACATCTGGTAAGTTCCTGGCAAAAACCAATGTAGACATGTTCCAGTTTTTAGTTTTCTACACAGCCTTATAATCCAGCTGTTTTTTTATATAATTTTCTTCCACTTATGTTTCAATTTATATGCTGTTTTTTTATGATTGTCCACTATTGTCATCACTCTTTGTTAAAATCTCTCTTGTAAATGAGTCCCCAAGTTTCAATGGGATTAACTTGTCTGAATAAAGGTTGAATGAATGAATGAATCTGAAGGAAGACTTCTGCCTTTTTCCTCAAACTTTGTGCTCCATGACTGATGTCACTGATGACGATTGATAACTATTTGATGGAACATCCCTTTGAAAACACCAGACTTTCTCTTTAAGAAGTATACGTGTTCCTATGCCACATTTTATATTAATTGTTTACTGCCTGAAATTTGCTCTGCACTACTGTTTTTATTGATCTTACTGTTTTAACTGTTTTATTCTTATGTGTTTAAATGTTCTTGATTTCATAAGTACAGCACTTTGTTGCAGCTGTGGTTGTTTTAAAGGGCTTTATAAATAAAGTAGTAGAAGTAGTTCTGTGATATTAAAAGAAAAATCTAAAGGTGAAATTACAGCTTGTTATTTAATTAGCTAATGGAAAATAAGAGATTCTGTTTCCACAGAACATCCCAGAAGGTCAAATAATTAGCAGAAATAAAATGTAGTTTATTAGCATGTGGTTCGGTACAAGATTTGAAGAAAACAGACAATGATGAAAGTCTATAACCAAAAATATGATTGTTTTAAAATTCAAGCTTTTATATTCAGTGGTTATGAAAATAGCAGCATTATCCCTGACAGCTATCAACAGCAAAGCTCATCGACGCCACACAAAAACACATATATATGCACACGCTCCTGCACAATCACACTTTCACACACATGAACACGACGGCATATGCTTGGAAAAATTGTCAGACAGGCTCAGTTTTTCACAGCTTTGCTTGTCCATATTCCAGCACTGAAACTGTGACAATTAATCCGGGAACAGTGTCCCAAAGCAGAAATAAAAGGGAAAAAAAATAAAATAAAATAATAACATTTAAAAAAAAAAAAGAAACATACCACCAACATTTTTTTTTTTATAATAAAAAATAAACAGACATTTCCCAGCTTGTGAGAGTGACTGTGAAAATAAAAAAAAAAATAAAAAAATAAATGGCGAGAGAAGTGAAGTCGGAATGGGGAGAGAAAGAGACAAAAGAGTGGAATCAAGGAGGGAATAGATGGTATTTAAAATGAAGATGACACATGAGATTGTTACTACGCCTCAGCGGGATCTCCTGAGATGGGTCTGACTTTTTCTTTCACAGTCTCGTGTGAAATGAAGTCACACTGAAGCAAAAGCACACACAAACCCTCACAGAAGGAAGTCCCATTTGGCTGAAAATACACAAGAAGTCTTCACTGTAAAGAGAAATACTGTTCTGTTTTGATTTTCACAACAATCAGGAAGATGTTTCTATACAGCAAATTATGACAGTAAAGTGTGAGTAAGTCCCATCATGGGAGGGGCAGTGTGTATGTGTGTGTGCAGAATGAATAAACATGTGGGTGAATGGAGTGGCAGATTTAAAATTCATAGAAATAATCAGACCGTTCTCTTATTTGCTTATTTAATGCACATGACAGACTTGCACTTTTTTATTCAAAGTTCAATCTCAGTTGTCTCAACACGGGGGGGGGGGGGGGGGGGGTTTCACACAGATATAACGTGAACATTTGATGCTATTATTTACTCTCTGTGAAAATGTCCCCATGTACATTTTTTAGATTTTCTGCGTTCGTATATTGGCCTCTCCTTTTCATTCTCCAGTAACTGAATGTCTAAAGTACCGGCAGTTTGTCTTGTGTGTTTCTTTGTTGGCTGTGTTAGCAAAATATCTCATGGACCACGGGACACATTTTAATGACATTCAGAAAGTAATCATCAGAACATCAACTTTGCATGAACTGCCACAGCTAAGCCACCTTTGCAACACTTAAATAAATATAACTGTCAATTCAGCCAATTTTCAGCTAAGATTTGGTGTTTTGGTAGCTGAGAGTCATCCTCACCTTGTACTTTAAGAGCAAATTGATAGAGAAAAATCTGTGCTTTGACATGAACTTTTGGAGTCAACTGTCTGTTAGCAAAATATGTCTTAAACCACTAGATGGATTTTTAAAAAACTCTTAGAAGGTAAATACTGGGATTCACTTTTAGAGTTAATACAATTGAAAATAGCTGCAAAAAAACAGCATTATCCAACACAAAAATGCTGGATTTATTTTGTTTAGTTTTCTATTGAACAGTCCTTCAGCTTATTACAGAATGATTGCTTTGGAAATGAAATTGTGTTGACATCACAAAGCATGGTGCAATCATACATGTCCATATGTGTATGTTTTCACACCAGACTAACACCTTGTGCATAAAGCAAGGCAGATTAGGAAATTTGGATCATCTAACAGTTTAGTTTAGCAATGGGAATAGACATCAAACTAGTCCAGAACCATCTGGTTTAACAGAAACAGCTTGGTTTCTTAATAAATAAATTAAAAGGAGGGCAGCAATGTTCCAAGATGTTGCAGAAACCATGTCCACAAGGGAATAAAAGCATTATGCTTGGGAAAATTCTAAGAATTATAAAGCAAAATCATAAATTAAAAAAATGCAAATACTATCTACATTGTATATCACAATAAAATCCTAAAGTTACACTTATTTAAGATTTAAAAGCACCACGAACCTTAGTGGAAACTATTTATAGTTGGAAAAAAAAAACTCAATTGTGTTTCTGATATTTTAACAGGAACTTATCTATATAATAATAATAATAATCATTTTATTTAAAAAGCGCCTTTCATGACACCCAAGGACACTTAAACACTACTATATGCTCTACTAAACTCTACTATACGCTAGTGGCATATATTGTGTTTTTGGATTTAAAAACTTCATGTTATCAGGAAGTGTATAATTTGAACAGCCATGCTTGGTGTCCTAAATACATTTAAATGTTTCCTTTTTCTGTCGCCTGCCCGTAAAGTCGCCATCTTGTCAGTGTTGCCAAATATTGTATATTTATCGTACACGATAGTTTCAGGGTACATAAGCCCAAATATACGATATTTTAGCACCTCCGTTCACAACACAAAATCTACTTTTTATTCACGTGAATACTCACACATGTTCCGCCCAACCAGACACTATGCTAGGCAACTCATCTCCTTTCTGTTTGGGTCAAAATACGATAATTTTATAGTGGCAGTGTGAAATTTCGTCATTTCCTATCTGGCAACCTGTGATATTGACCTCTACGGATCAAACATTCAGGCAAGAAGACATTTACCACGGCACTGTTTTCCTAGTTACAATCAGCCTTGAATGTGTTAAGGTAAAACTTAAACCTTTTTTTTTTTTAGTTAAAATATTTTAAATACAATATTGTGTCACTCAGACTCTGTACAGAGTTATTATTAAGAAAATAAGACTTTATGCAACAACACGCCAGATATCAAAGCATGCTAATATCAGTTAGCTTATCACAGACAGCAGCTCTGGACATTTTAGCTGCGAAATACCTTCAAATTGTTATTAAATTTAAATAAATATTTATTTTTCACAAAGGAAAAAGGGTAAAACCTGTGAATAGTTTGTTCAATCAATTAACTTTGCTTGGACATAAATGGTAACCAACATTAGCTTTTTTTTTTTACCAACAGATCATTAGCTTGTATGCATACCAATATGCTACTCTATAGTCAAACTAGAATAATTTGCGTTTTTTTTTGTTTCTTCCCACTTGTATAAATATAAATGTTGTTGAAAGTGGTTGATAACTTTGTTTGATTATTTACTTTGTAGTATCATGCATGAATAGGTTGATTTGTTAATTATATTGATTAATTTATTTTTAAATCACATTAAATAGAAAGTACATGAAACACGTGAGTCGCGTCAAATTCTATTAGTTAAAGGTTAAGGCAGCTCCAAAACGACTTGTTTCAGCGAATTAAATGGATTGCACTTATATATCGCCTTTCTATCTAATCAAAACCCTCAAAGTGCTTTACACTCCAATCTGTGTCTTCATTTACCCATTCATACAGCGCTCTACTAGATCTCTACAAAGCTAATTGAGCAAATCATTCTAAAGAGAAGTGCTTTATCACATTCATACACGGATGGGACACACAGTGGAGGCAATGAGGGGTTCAGTGTCTTGCCCAGGGACACTTGGGCATGTGACTGCTGGTGGATTCAAACCCCCAATTCTTGCAGTGGAGGACGACTTCTCTAACCACTCAGCCACAGCCGCCCTATTAAATTAAATTAATTAAATATGGCTTAAGTCTTTCCATGCTTCATTTTGGAAAAATATAGGAAGTCAGTTATCAGCCTTTTAAATGACACTTAAATGTTAACTGTATTTATTAATACATGTGTTTCTGTGTAAAATGTCTGCTGTAAATCAGTCTACATTTTAGTTGAAATAACGTATTTTAAACTTTACTCTTTCAATGTATTTGTGTAAACTGTATCTCTTTTTGTATATATTTACTGTAGCTGTAAAAAGGTTTTAACCAGACTCAACTGTTTTTTTGGTTTTTTTTACACATTGCTTAGCAGGTATGGCAGACCAAGAAGTGTTTAAACACAGTTCAAAAAGGGGGGCTGCTAAATTCCAGTCCCTGAAAAGTGATTGTGAGTCGAGCGCCTGCCTTCATCAACCTGAAGGCCACCTGGCAGGCGATGCAGCAGTCTACGGGAGCCCTGAGGGTGAGAGGTAATGAAAACAATTACATTTTCTGCTGATGGTTACTGTGACTGTCTATATTTGTTTGGCCTTTTTTTTTTAATCCTACCCTCTTCAGAATTGTCAGAAACTGTTCATCCTATTTCCACAGCAGTAAGTATGCCATGCTTCAGCTGCATGAAGTACATACTAGTACAATAAATTGATTTTAAAGATGAAATAAAAGCTGAAGGATCTTCCCACAACATGTAGAGGCACTTGAGGGGAGTTATTCATAATTTTCTTTATTTTAACCCGTGCAACAAGAGCTTAATAACAAAGTACATTAAATACACCTGTTTATTGATCATTTACCTCCAGCATCTGATTTTCTTCTTCTTCATCTTTTTGTTTTGCTTTAGTCGATTAAATTCCATGCAATAGTAATAATGTTTGACTGTGACTTTAAACTACTCTAAATGTCTCTCTTTGGTTCCTCGTAGGGAAGATGCTGATGTTGCTGCAGATGATAGTGCACAAGATGATTTGCTTTTTGAAGCATACATACCACAAAGGGAGACGTCTTCCATCCTTAACCTCAGAGATGAAGCAGATGTGCTGTTGGAGTATGAGGTGAATAAGAAGTAGTTACCAGGGTTTCTCAGAACAACTGCTGTCTTGTATTTAATGTGTTTTCTTATAGTTTTAATATTTTTCTCTACACGGTTCTTTTCTTCTGGTTTAGGTACAAGCTGTTCCAAATGATGGAAACGGACATTATTTCTAAAACTGTGCTAAAAAGGTTTACATCAAAGAGAAAACTTGACCATCACAAACATAGTATTGTTTAGCTTGAACAAGCATAACACAGTAAACTATCCAAAAATGCTTTACCTAGTAGACTGTTTTATATATAAAATAAATATAAGACTGTGATAAATAGTCTTGACATAATTAAATTTAGAGAAATGTGCAGGGGTTGATAAAAGAAGTTAAGTCACAGTCCTAGTTTTTATTTCAGTGACTTCTTTTACCCTCAGGATGAAGACTTTGATGGTGATGCAGCTGTCCCCTCTCTTCGTGGGATGTCACCTCCTGAAAGCATACTCTCAGATGAAGAGCTCTCAGTGGACCAGATCAAGGACCTCAACAATCCAGATGAAAGAGTCGAGACTGAAGGTGCAGTACTGGCTGCGTAGAAGTGAAAATAAATCTGTGGTTTCTGTCTGACCTGAAGGAACCGTCCAAATGTTCAGTGTGCCTCTGAATTATCCATAGAAATTTTCAACTAGTCTATAACACCACTGTCTTTCTAGTGTGTGTCTGTCTGTCTTGTTCACTTTTTCTATTTTCTTGTTGTACTAATGAAGTGTTGCTTCCCTGTCTGCTACAATGCCACGGTCCCACTTTGTTCATTTGAAGGCTGTCTCCTCACTTGTTTCAGAAAAATCACTGGTCTTGTCTAGGGATGCACGATATTAGATTTTTGGCTGATATGCCAATATGTTAAAACTTATTTGGCTGATAGTCGATACCAGTACCAATTTTTTTTTTTTTCCCTAGGCCTACTTACAGAAACTACATAGCGTTCTCTGCTATGGAATTAAAATACTACATTATTCTACATGGTCTTTGTCAATTTGGCCTGCTACCAAATGCAGATGACAAAAAGTGCGCTGAAAATGATGTAACACTTCAACTTGGAATATTTTTAATGTCAAATTTATTCATGGCATAGGTAGGCGCGCGTGACTTCATAATGTGCTGGCGCTGCAGGCATCCTTGTCACTGGGTTGTCATACAAAAC